TCACAAAATTAATACTGGAAACAGATGTATATGCTGGTTATTTAAAATGTAATCCTCAAGAAAATCTTCTGAGGATGTCCATCACCTTCCTGTTTGTTGGAGTTCTTGGGCTCTTGACAGAAGATGCTGAGCTTTAATTACTCTGGAATCTGAGGCTGCTCAGCCAATGCCACCAGACAGCTCTCTGAATTTCAGTGCCTCTTATCAGTAAGTGGAGTGTCCAAACCCCTTTTCAGCTGAATATACCCAGTCATCAGGGACAGAAGAAGTGGAAAAAGCTCACAAACATTGTGTTTCATTGAAATCTGGAACTACTTAAGCTGACATGAGACAAATCTGGACAATAGCATCCCCACTCTGCACGGAAAAAATGCCCTGCCCAAGCCCACATATCTGTTCCATGGAGAGTTTTAAGTGGGGTGCCAGAGTCTAATCAACCTCTCAAAGCTTATCTCATATCCAAGTAGCTGCTAATCAGCAGGGCACAGATAATAATGACAGCTGATAAAACTGAGCACGCTGAAATAGCACTGGACAGTGTCTAGAGTGAAGTGCACGCTACACCTGCCCACACCTGTACATGGGTGAATGACAGTGAATTCTTGTCAGGTCACATTATCACTGAAAGATTATCCTGGCTTTGGAAATGGTAGTTTGAGTTAAACCCCCAAATGGACAAAATATTACCTATCAATTTAACATTAGTACATAATGACTAAATTAGAAATCATTTTAGTTTTCTAATCTCATAACATTTAAACCATAATTATAACATTATTTATTCCATCCCCTTTGTAAGTTGTTCTTATTGACTGCTCTTAGTTTGAGCAGTAAAGAGTATTTCGAAAGTAGGCACAGATTTATCTCTTAATTTGTAATGGATGCTCTGCTACCTTCACATCTCACTGAGCCACTTCTCTTTGACTAAAGCTTCATTACTGAGCATTTACCACTCTTTGGTCAAACTGCCCTCAGGCTCATATATCCATCCTTCTCCCATGCCTGGCTTTACATTGATAAAATCTGCTTCACGAGAGATAAAAAAATTTAAATATATATATATATATATATATATATATATATAAAAAATTATGACAATTATTCAATTCAATTTTTTTCATACTTTTAAGCTCTAATGCAAAATTTTGATCTCACCTCAGCTGGATTTTGCCTGCCAACAGCTTGGATTCTCTCTAATCCCTAAAAAACTGCTGTATTGCAAAAGCAATTGGTTGGATGCCTCTTATGAAATCATTAATTTTACAAGTTCTATGATATTTTGAATAACTTATTTAATGGATTTCCCCTTGTTCATTATTTACTTGGGATCAATGGCTCATGTGCAGAATGTGCAAACCTAAACACAAACAAGCCCCAACTGCCTCATTGCCCCAAAACACAGCTTTGGTTTTGGGTGTGCATAGCCCCACCTAATCCAAGCAGGGACACGGTGCCAGAATTCCAGGCCATGGATCTCACATCCCAGGGCTCTGCTCATCTGGGCAGCACATGCAGGACAAGCAGGGTACAAACACTGCCCAGAGAGGAGGAGTGAAACCAAGATCATGCTCAAAGGCCAGAAGCCATTGGATGCAACCCCTGTTTGAACCACTTGAGGCTGGTCAGGAATAAATATCTGAGAAATATCCTGAAGCACCAAAATCTGGCTGCATTCCAAACTGGAACAAAAGAAAGATCTCCCAAATCTTTTCCAAGAGGAGAGCAGGAGCACATAACCCTTGTAACAGGCAGGCAAATCTCAAACAGCCAATTCTTTCAGACCCTGCTCTGAGACACAGGAGGCACAAGGCAAAGCTGGGACTGTCAGCACTGACCACTGGACGTCCCCATCTTCTGCAATGAGAGGGTCCCTCACATTCTCTTCCTTTGGCTACAAGTTCCATCTGAGGCTCAGATGTTTTTATAAAAAGTACACATCCACAAGTGTTTTCAAAAAACAGCATTTTTAGACAAAGAATGCTGTGCTAAAACATTCCCAGCCAGTGCTCAATCCCTGTTCTTCCAAGCTCATTTACATATTTTTATTGTAGATAAGGAAACTAAAGCTTGAACCCCAGGCTGCTGTGATTCACTGAAGTGTTGCATGGTGGAATGAATTTCAGAGATGCTGCTTCACTGAAAAACTGCAATTTGTTGTAAAGACACCGCCTTTTCCTGCACCTCAAACTACGCTTTGGCAACAGAGATTTTTCACTCCATAAAACAAGATGTTCTAATTGAAAGCATTGAAAATGCTTTGCTGTAGCAGAGATGAAGTCCCTTGTTCCATCTTAAAAGTTCCTTGTGGGGAAAAAAAAATAACAACAACAACAAAGCTAAAATGACCCTGAAACCAATAATAAAATAGTATGGAAATTATCCTGTTGTGAACAAATCCTCTGTGGATAAAGGAGGTTTCTGGTTTTTTAAAGGACCTTAGTCCCTAAAATACGTATTAGTTTTGGTTGCCATGCACACCTGCTCCCTGAGAGGTCACTGTGACCCATTCACATTGATCTACATACAGATAGGAGCAAAATGTTGATATTTTGTAAGTGTTCCATGTTTTCACACACAATATCTTTATAGGAACTAGAATATATTGGCTTGGTTAAATTTTCTCCTATTTTATCAGCTACAAAAGAGAGATTCATTCCTGCTAGAAGGGTTTTCTTTCTAAAGAAAAGCTTGTGATTCAATTCTTTATCATGAGCACTCAGACAGCATTCATGTGTGGCGTGCCTGATGCCACAGACAGAGAAAGTAACTGATTTTTAAAGACACTAAACAGGCACAATCATTCTTGGATCGAATGAGAGCAGCTCTGAAAGCCAGTGGTGACAGGTCAGCAAAGAACACAAGCCCTTAGATTCAATAAATCAGGTGTTAATAGGCTGAAAGGGAGATTACAGGTGAAACAGAACCATTTCCATTTCCATTCAGCATTAAGGGAGTTTGATGTCTGTGCTGAGAACACGGGACTCAGGCAGGAGGGTGGAAGCACAGAGCAGATAATTCATCTCAATCATCAGAGAGTGTACACCGGGAAGAGCCTTGGTTTAGGGTTCTTTTAGTACTTTATAATGTTAACAAAGACCTGAAAACTCAGTTTCTGTTTCCCACCTTTCAGCAGGCATTTCCCAGGCCTTACAGAACCAGGTAACTGTCAGTGAATAATGACACAGTTGTTCTCCAGTTTATATGACAATTGTTTCAGCTACCTGGCAGGTCAGGGAGAGCAGCAGCAGCTCTCCACCACCACAGCCATGGATTGTGCAATTCGCTTGTCACTTGAGAAAACAGTGGATAGAGCCAAGAGGATTTCAGAGCAGCCAATATGGGTTAAACCTCAGTCCCACCACCCTGCCCATTCTCCACCCCAACGCCTCCTCCTGCACACGCACAACTTCTCCCTTCTGTTTATTTTTCGTTTTAAACACTCTAAGCAGAAATTGACTTTGGCTGCTTTTCCTGAACTCTGAAGTGTTTGAGCAGATAAGATTCAGATAACCCATCAGAAGAAAGTTTCATAGGTCCCTCTTCTCCCGGCAGGTGGTCACCAAGGCCAGCCATGCACTCAGGTTTCTTTGCCCAGCTGAAGGATTTTTCTGTCTCATTTACTTTCCAAGTAAATTTACTTTTATCCAGATTTGAAATTTTTACAGTATCTCACTTGGAAAAAGATACTCATTTATATACAATGCTGGGGAAATACAAAGTGCAAATCTCCCTGCTGCCATCCCAAATGTGGCAGTAGTTTCCCAAACAGATTTAGTGAGCCCCTCAGACTCAGCAAAAGGGAGCTGATCTGAGCTCCTCCTCCTTTATGGGAAATAAATAAAGAGTGATAAAACTCTCAAAAGTACTAAGATGTGTCTCCAGAAATAACTGCTCTTTAGAGGACAATGTAAAAATAGTTACATTTGTTTCAAGGAAACATTGGTTAAAATGGATAAGCTTTTATTTTCCTATCACTATTTTTTCCACTTAAAGGCTTACCTGAAATGAGAAGACTCCTAGACAAAAAGGAATTCAGGCTGTTCTTTCCACACAAGATATTTGCTGTAACTACAGTCTTACTTATGTCTGGCATGGATTTTGTCACCAATATAATAATAATAATACTTCTAATTATTATTATTACTACTACTACTACTAAAAATAATAACATTTTAGAACAAAGTTTACTGTGGATCACTGAAATTGTAGAATTAGCTGGAGTGTCTCAGGATGGAGTCTTGAGTGGTAATACTGGTTTATGGTACTGATATTAATCTCCTGCTCTCCTCCTGCCCCAGCATCAATGTGTTCTAGAAACATTGATATGTTAATCTAGATAAATTGATAAATATACAAGAAATACTGTTTATGTGCCATGTAGTTCACTGTACTAGAGACCTGATCTTGCTTAAAACTAATCCAGGAAAAAACCTCTTTTTTTGGGGGGTGTGGTTTTTTGGTGGTAGGGATGGTGTTTTTGGGGGGATTTTGTTGTGGTTTTTTTAATAGCTGTGTTCCCAACTCCATTCCCAAGTGCAGCTGCATAAACACAGTGGCTGGGAGAGCTGCAGGGGTGGGACACCACAGAAACCAGCAGCAGGTGGCAAAGGAGGTGAGGCTCAGTCGATATTGCTGCCACACACTCGGATACCCAGCCTCAAGTGCACTCAGCAAATGTAACTAGAACTCACTTTGCTGCAAGCTAAGGCTGCTGGCAGCAAGGAGCTCAGGGAAGACTGCAAAACCCTGCAGGGATCCCAGGAAAATCTGCAGCTGGCTCGCTTGCCCTGACTGCCGGCTGTGCTCACACCGAGGACACAGCCCCTCAGTAGGAAACCCGTGCTGGAAACTCACACCTGAGCTAATGCTCCCCTGCATTTGTAAAACCATCAGCCACAGCTTGGGATGAAATGCACACATTCCCTTGCACATTTGTATCTTCAGTGTGAGGGGGGAATATATTTCTGCTTGCCAGACAGATGTGCAGGCTGAGCACTCACCGTTCTGCAGCCCTGGGAAGCGCAGGTGAAGGCGACTCCAGACTCAGGGATGCTGTATCTGCTGCAAGGAAAAAGCATCATGTAAGGAAAGGGCTGCTGAAAACATTCTGTCATTAATCTAAAATACTGCATGAGGCATAAAACACTGACTGAAAGGCTGGGGGGAAATGACCTTACAATCATAAACACATGCACATCTCTCCAGACACTAGAGAGCACATCCCACCTGAGTCCCTTGTGACAGAGCCAACTGCATCTGGAAATCTTTATTTAGAAAACTAAACAATCTGACAAGATTTGAACACAAACCTCCTGAAGCCTAATGCTGTGGAACTAAAGCCAGATCTGCAAGTGTAATTTCATTCTATTATCACATTAGCCATAAAAAAAGTCTTCTTATTAGCTGCTGCTTGACTTAAAAATCCTGTGCACGAGTAAAATCCAGGCTGTGATCACCACGAGCAGTAAGGCCTGGAGTGCCATCCAACGGTGAGACAGTCATTAGCAGCTCTGATTAAAGATTTCTGCCTCTACCTGCTCCTGCCACAGCGGGATATGAAACACCCTGCAAACCCATGGAGCTCTAAAACATCAGCTGAAGGTGCCCAGTTATTTCTACTCTCCTTTAACAGAGGCAGTAAGCAGAGTTTTTGATATCCCAGTCTTGTTTACAGCATTCAGGTTATTCCATCCCAACCAGGACTTGTGTTTCCCAAAAGGTAAAGCCTGCCAGCTGACAGAGCAGCAGAGGAGTCACATATCCTGCCACTCCAAAGCTTGTGTATCTGTGTATTTGCAACCTTCTCCATCAAGTTGCTTTGAACTGTGGAGGATGAAGAGAGGATATTAAATGTAGGATTGAGTTTGGACAAGCACCTGCCCTTTTTATGAAATAGAAATAAATCATAGAATCCAACCCTTTCCTGTGGATTCTCATTGTCATTTCAAGGGCCAGGCTCTAGTGGACAATTTGAAAATCAAAACCTCTGAATCAGACTATACTGGGATGAAAAAACAATGTACCTTAAGTTGCACAGGTTGGAATTATTTTGGGAAGGGAATACCTTCTTCTGTGCAAAGAGCAAGAAGGGTTGTGTCCTGAGACCACAGAATATTTTCATTTACCTAATCCTCCATTATTATATGGATCTAAGTCACCAGTAATGCTTTTAATCTCTTCTGTGTTTTTTTTTACTGCAATGCTTTGCAGATTTTGCAACTTTGAGTATTTTGTAAGGTAGATCATAAATTTCCTAAAGGCTGTTAGGAAATTTTTTGCTGCTCTGCATTTGTTTGGAGGCACAATTTGAGGATTAAATTTCTATCAAAGGGTGAACATGTTTGTTGGGCACAGATGTCTGATCCAAACAGCCCTTTTCAGGCCATATTTTTGGCTGGAATATATTTCAGACATTCAGCTCTACTGGCACAGGCACCCTAAAGCGTGGAGCCAGTTGAGTGCAGCTCAGCATTGGGGTAAACAGGTATTGCCCTCTCTGGCTTCAGCTGGAGTTATAAACCCAGAGATTAATTTACCCTTTTTCCATTGCAAGGCAGGACTGGAAATGAAAGCAGACCTTCCTGTAACAATTCCAATCCAGACATTCCTATTAGCTTTCCTATTCTATCCCAATCATCGCTAAATTGTATCGTAAGATTTATATTTCTTTTCATTTGTACTGCTTCCTACTAAGGAGAAAATAGTTCAGAAGCCACCAAAGAAATCTTACAACCCAAGCCAGACTATGCCAGGGCCAACTTTCCCTGCAGAAGCACTTCAGACTGCAATAGTGTGCCGGTGGAACAGCACCCGTTCCCAGCACGGAACGGCTCGGAGCGGTGTGAACTGGCACAGCACCCGTTCCCAGCGCGGAACGGCTCGGAACGGTGTGAACTGGCACAGCACCCGTTCCCAGCACGGAACGGCTCGGAACGGTGTGAATCCTTGCGGAGGAGCCGTGCCCGTTCCCAGCACGGAACGGCTCGGAGCGGTGTGAATCCTTGCGGAGGAGCCGTGCCCGTTCCCAGCACGGAACGGCTCGGAACCGTGTGAATCCTTGCGGAGGAGCCGTGCCCGTTCCCCCGGCGCTGCTGGCCACGGCCGCCCAGCGGGCCCGGCTCCCTTGGCTCCCGCGGCTCTCCCGGTGGGCGAGTGACACCAAGCGGCTCCTGCCAGTGCTACGGGCCCCAGCCTGCCGCAGGGCTGCTGCTTCGGGGGCTGCATCTTCGGGGCTCCTTCTTCGGGGCTCCATCTCTGCTGGGTTCCATCTCCCGGGGCTCCTTCTCCCAGAGCTCCATCTCCCGGGGCTCCATCTCCCCTGGGCTCCATCTCCCTGGGCTCCATCTCCC